ATACAATGGCCCTAACAGAGATAAAGTAGTAAGTCAGGAACCCAGGGATGTGTGGTCAGTAGGCAGCTGGAGAGATGACATTGATTTCACTCGTTAAAAGAACTACAGTCTGGCCCTCCCTGGTGGCGCAGCGTGTTAAAGCACAGCACTAAGAATCGAAAGCCACTTCTGCATGAGTTCGATCCCCACCTACCCCTGAGGTGACCACATGGCGTGGCAGACCTCTCCTGACCCGCCCGCTGCTCCCCTCAGCAGTATACTTTGTTGATCTGCCTGTTCTGCTCCCCACTCTGTCCCTGGTGAATCCTCTCACCCACATTTCTGGCCTGTACCCCAGTTCTGTATGAATAAATAAATAAATCTTAAAAAAAAAAAAACAGTCTGAAGGTCTGAAGAGAGACAGTGTCTGAGAAACTGCCCAGAGTGTCCCTTAGAAGAGAGGAAGGTGGTAATTGTGTATGGACTCTCTGGAGTCCCCAGGAGATGACAATTGCAGTAGTCACATAAAACTACTCTTCACATCCTACATTTCCTAGAGTTTGACCCATCAAGGGGTCAGAAACAAGTTACTGTCAGTATTAGAGAAAGTGTCTGAGGATAGAGTGAAGAAACTAATCAAGTCTCCCCTCTTCTTGTAGCCTTCTAACCAGAGGCATGCCTAAGCTGGGAGAGGAGACAGTTTTAACTGAATGGCATTCAAGTTTGACTATTTCACTGATTGATCTGAAGTGCAGTTAGCAGAAAGAACTTTTTTCATGTCCCTCTCAAAAATCACTACTACTTTAATTATTAAGGGACCCAAAACCTTAGATTTTAAGGTATGGAAAGAATGGATCCATGGAATTTAGAAGCAGCAATGACAGTCACTCTCAAACTTGGGCTGTATTAGAAGTAGCCCAAGACAGATGGCCAAGTAAAATTTTGCTGAAGAAGTAAATATTGATTTACTTAGTTAAGTATTGATTAGAAAAATAACCAGAAGATAGCTGGTAAAATAGTGGGGGATAGATTGGGATAGGAATCAGAAAAGTCAGTAAGAAAAAAAAATCTTGTGGAAGTCTGTGGTGGGCAGTATTATTTTATATACTCAGTTTGTTAAATACTGTGACTATGTAACAAACAAGCCCAAAATGTAGTGGCAGAAAACACTTTATTATCTCTTGTAATTCCAGGGCTTGACTGGTATTAGCTGGGTGATACTTGCTTGACTGGGTTAAAGTGATTGGGACTAGACTCCTCTGAATTCTGAACAGGTCTAGATAGCCAAGATGACCACTGTGCATGCTGGGAGCACACCTGAGAACAGCAATGGGAGCACCTAGTCAGGATCTCTCCACATCCCTTGAGCTTGGCAGCATGGCAGCCTGGTTCTGAGAGGCATGTCTTACAAGATGAGTATTCTAAAAGCCACATAGCCTTTTATGAACTCATAGTACTATTTTCACCATCCCCTCCCCAAATCACATATTTGCCCAGTACTGTTGGAGAAAAAAAAAAAATTAAACTCTTCCATCATAAAATGAAAAAGCCCTTGTAATGAAGTTGTTTTTAAAGGAGCACTAGAAACTAGAATCTCCCAGAAAACATAGCCCCAGTCCCAGTCCTAGTCCTAATCCCTGCTATAGTACAGCCACAGGACAAGCAAAAATGACTCCAGCTCTTTGCCATGTGGGCCAGGCAAAGACTACCTCCTCCCCTGTCCAGCATTTACTGAGCTCCTGTTTCAGGATCTGTGTACCTTCTTAACCCTTACAATAGTCTATGGAGGTAGATACTCCATTACTCTCATTTTATGTCCATTCTCAAGTATTTCTGGTTTGAATACAGGTTCTTGACCATCACTCATGCTTCTTCCTAATTATAACCAAAATTATAGGAATACAGAGAACTGGTGAGCAGACAAGAATCGAAGTATACTACTATAAAATTAAAAAAAAAAGAGCAAAAAGTAAAAATAAATAAAAACATAGTATTCTTTCCCCCCAGATGAACACTTACAACATCCATCCACTAGGTTGCTCCTTGTGGATGCCATCACCCCAGCAATCTCTCCAGTCAGATAATCCAGTCCTTCTCTTATAGGGATAAACAGGAAGAGTTCATTCCAATATTCCCTTCTTAAAGAGAAAAAAAACTCATTCTGTGGAATTTGAGGGGCTGGAATAAGAATTTTCAACTGACTTTAGTAGAGATTTGGAAAATGAGCAGTAGAAAGTAATAAATCAACTATAAGTCATAATGATTAAGAAGCTCAAGTCAAAGAACATTTGTTTTTTACAGGATCAGTTTTATAGTTTCAAAATGGTCATCCTTGGTATTTTGAGACTAAGAAAACTATATAGTACAGACTATGCACTTTAGGCTAAGGATTGCAAAGAAAGTACCTTAGGGCGAATAAGAGACAAAGTTGTTTGTAAACATACCAGTGACAACACAGGCTGAGCAGAGAAAAACAAGAACAGAAGGCTAGAAGACTAGAAGGAAATTGCAAGGTTACAGGACAGGTGAGATGAAGTTCACATCCTAAACCAGTGAGTCAGAGACTATGCATTACCCGTAAAACAGAAAGCGAATTATCTTATTTCGTATTTTTAAACCTCTGCAAAGGTAGAAATATAAGTTGAATATTGCTTTTACACATTTGCTTGAAGTGTGTAATTGTTAATGTCAAATAATGTATTAACTTTGTTAATAGAAATTTTAACCCTGAAGAGAATTCAAATTGACCTTTATGGCAACTTCTAGAGAGCAAATGACCATTCTATTCTTTTGCAATTTAGCATTTTCTCATAATGAATTTACAAAGCACTGGCATTTATCATAGTTGATCCAAGCAAAAACTGTCTTATAAATGTGTGAGAGCACCTAATCAACAGAAAGAATTCCTATACAAAGATGTGCCTCTGTGTTTTATTCCTCTTTCAAGATATGAATTATTATTCTCTTAGCAGAGAACTAAAAGGACAAAAGACTCCACCCATCAGCCAGGAAAGAATTGTGTGGAGTCCATGAAGTAATTTCCATCTGAAGAACTGCACCCATTACCAGCAACTTTAGCGGCAAGGAAACATCTGGATGTGTCACAACTGGCAAAATCCTCATTGCAAATCTATGAGGCAAGCATAATAATCATGGTATTTGACAGATGGAAAAACTGGGGAGGGTCAGTGACAGATGTGGGATTGCAAATCTTCACATTCAATAGGTTGTTTTCATTTCTGGGGAAAGTTCACCTGGGAGTCAAACTTTGTTTTTTTAAGAGTTAAACTAGAACACTGTATGTTTTAGAGTCAACTGAAGATTAATGGACTTAAAGGTTTTAACAATACTACTCTAAATTTGGCTGCCCCTGCAATGAAGTGGGCAAACAAGCTCTAAATTGACTCGTTGAATAAATTACCTGACTCTTCTCACTCCTGTGACCAAATTAGTTCACTTGTAAGTTACTGACGACCAATTCTATTCTTCCTCTAACATAAACACACTAATACTTAGAGCAGGCAAAATTTTAACAGTTGTCTCTTTCATTTCTTGATGCCCTAGTGTACTAAGACAGTGAGCACACAATGTTAACTGAACAAATAAATTCTAGAATTCCCCTGCTTTTATTATAACTTTTATAATAAAAAGTTACTTTTTATTACTTTCTTGCTACTCCAAGAAAATCTGAAGTCTTTTGCTAAAAAAAGATTCGGTACCATAAACTTAAGATTTGAAAACAAACTTTTTAAAGTTGCAGTAAAACCCATGTTCTAAAAAAATCTCAAAATTTTCCACTTTGGGAGGGCTACTTCAAAATATTAACTGAAAGATAAACAGTACTTGTTGATAATTTTATGTACGTTTAATTAAAAATGGTGAATTGGGCCCTCCCTGGTGGTGCAGCAGGTTAAAGCACAGCACTAAGCTAAAGCCACTTCCGCATGAGTTCGATTCCCACCTGCCCTGGAGGTGACCACATGGTGTGGCAGACCCCTCCTGACCCGCCCCCTGCTCCCCTCAGCAGTGTACTTCGTCAGTCTGCCTGTTCTGCTCCCCACTCTGTCTCGGGCAAAGCCTATCACTGCTCCACCGCAGCTCTGGTCTATACCCCAGTTCTGTATGCATAAATAAATAAATCTTAAAAAAAAAAGGTCGAATTGGTAATTTCAGAGAGTCTGATGAGAACCACAGGACCGCCAAAAACCCATAATTTCCATACCAAATAAGTCCTTAGGTAGCCCACAGAAGTTTTCACAAAAGAGGGTGGCCTCATCTATGTTGTAATATGCTTACACTCTCAACTATAACACATAGTCAGCACCAGGGTTTATGGGTGCTATTGGCTTTCAATATTTAAGGATGTTAGTGTAACCTGTTAAGTCCAATCCTGACTTTCTACAATATACTTGGTAACAACAGGCAGGAACATTGTTTTAAAAAAAGTAATTTCCAATAAAAAAAAGTCATTTTAATATCCCATCCCCAAAAGTTGTTTGTTCACTTAACTTTTCAACCATTTTTAGAAAATGCTAAAGAACAATGCAACTTCATTAGAAAAAGTTTAAAACTTGAGTTTTTTAACTCAAAATTAGTAACCAGTCATTTTTCTAGGCAGTAAAGGATACAGAGTAATACTGGCTTTATCGAAAGTCAGAAGCTGGACTTGATTACTTCTTTATATAGAACACAAATTCACAGCCATTAAGGAACTCTGAAAAATGTAGCCATACTAAGTATGGTACATATAAATCACAAAACTGCTTTGGAAATAGACCCTAAATTTCTGAGATTAAAAAGTCTCAAATTATTTAATAGCGCCAAAGGGCCCCCACATTTTCTGGGAGAGAAAAAAAGAAGAAACCCAAGTGGTAGAAATAAAGGGAGCCCTGTAGAACAACAGTGCATTTTCCACTGAGATCCTCATTCAGAATCTTGTGCTTCTCTATCCAAAGGTATTGAAATACAAATCAACTCAGTCACTGAAGACATAATTCTGAATCTCTTCTCATTTTTATTTTTTTAAAAAAGACAGATTTAGGATAGTGTAAGAAATTACTAAGTTACATTTTTTTAAAATCTGCCCAGTGCTACAGTAATGGAATAAGTAAATAAGATTTTCTTAAAGTTCAATGTTTATAGACATATTTATATATATATATAAAAAAAAGACTGAATTGGAAGACATTAAATAATGTCGATACACACCAGGAAAGGGTTCAGGCAAGGAAAGGCACATCATTTCACCACAAGAAATAAAGACCATAGTTGGAAGTTAATGACCAGCCAAAGTTTTAGATCTTGCGGTAGTTTTCCTAGCACTGGAGGGTCATTATGTGAAACTTCTTTATGGTACTTAGCTGGAATAAATAGCTGTTAAGAAATTTTACTCTGCAACCCCAAAGTGGTATTAAAAAGAAAGCACTCTTTAATAAGCCTGGCGTATGAAGAGGGAAGGAGCAAAATTCTACTAAAACAGTTGGGTGGTACTGAAAATCCTACTGACATATTAAGTGTTTTTTTTTTTAAGTAAAATAAAGTTAAATCCTCTTATCTGAACTGGAATTCTTGCAGTTACAAAGTAAGGATTTCAAGTAAATACATTTTCACTTCCTTTTCCTTGTAGATAGACACAGTGTAAACAGCTGCCATATTTCACTTCAGATCTTGGACCATTTCCCCATTTTATGTAGCTTAAGTCTTTGAAAATAGTACTGATACCTCTGAATGAATGGCAATCTACAACAGCAAAGGAACATAAAGTTTTGACAATGGTAAGAGATTTCTTTCCCAAAAAGAAATGTTTCCAGTTGAACAGACATAAGCAGAATTTGCTTTGGGTCAATTTCCTTTCATCAATTCATGCCACGTATTATTTATCCATTTCTTTCTGTCTGAACTCTAAAAAAGACTAATTTGTGAAAGGTAAAATCTGAGTAATTCATGTAAATCTTAGTGGTTAAGAAAACTGTGTGTATAAATAAAATGGATTTTCAGCACAAAATGGCATATTCACACACACACAAAGTTAAATTAAAAAAACTGGGAGATGAGGGAAATTATTAATATTAAAAAAATAATAAAAATGGCAATTGTGAAGTAGGAAGCTTCCTGTTCATGCCACACGATAAGCTTTCATTAAGGTGTCCTCTTTCCGGTTGGTGTGAGCAGCCCAGATGAAGAGAGCAGAAGCCATGAACTGTAAGGGAGCTGAGACACAGGCTAGGCAGAACGACCATCCGAATTCTCCAGACACATTCTCAGGCAGCTCTAGTTTCTGGTGTAGTAGTTCAATACCAGCAACATAGCAACTCACTGAGCCCAAAGTAGAAAGACCTTAGAGGAAAATTTAGAAAATAAAACAAAGCACAGCTAAGTAACAGCTTTTTAAACAACATGACAGGGTAGTAATATGACTGTTTAAGTAATACGACTCTTTGGTCCTTAAGGAGACAGAAGGAGATGAAATGCAAGTATGACAAGACCTACCTGCAAGGAGATGTAGAATGCCAGTGGCAATGGTGGGATACAAACTTCGGCAGATACAAGCGCAAAGTCCAATCAAAGCCCCAAAGCACATCAAACCTAGACTAACAAAAGGTAAAAGAAACTGGCAACGCCAAAGATCTGATTTTAAAAAAGAGAGAAAAAAAGAAATGTTACTAGGGTTCTGACCGCTTTCTCACATGGCAATTTTGTTTATATTTTAATGAGACTGTCTCAAAAGTGAGGAGTTTCATTTCTAAAGCATTCATCAAAAGGATGTTAATCTTTTTTTTGAGACAAGTTAAATGAACACTAACAGTAAATAATCACTGAAGGTTTATTATGTGGTAGGTATTGTTCTACAAACATATTATGAAGTGGGTACTATTATTGTTGTTCCCATTTCATAAATGAAATTGAGGCAAGAGGTATAGATTACTTCACAATTATGTTTTAGAGCCAGGAATGGAAGAAAAACAGCACGATGGTACGTACAGACATATCTGTGGCCTTAGAAGATCTCAAGATAAGGCTAACAAGTAAATGAATGGAGATTATAATGACCTATTGAAAGAGTATACATATAGCACAAAGCAGAGGATCTGATATATAATGGGAGCTCCATAAATGGCAGTTTTAATGATCATAAATTCCTTAAACAACATGGAAAGAAAGATGAGATTTTTACAATGCATTCCATTTTGTTTTTAAATTATTTTAATTAGCAATGTATTAATATTAACCTATCCAAATTCTAACTTTTAGTGCTGGTTTTATTCTCTAGAGCTATGTAATTCATTTGTTTTTGATATCTCCAGTTTTTTTTGTTTAAATATTTATTTATTTATTCATACAGAACTGGGGTACAGGCCAGAGATGAGGCAGGTAAGAGGATTCACCAGAGACAGAGTGGGGAGCAAAACAGGCAGATTGACGAAGTGCACTGTTGAGGGGAGCAGAGGGCGGGTCAGGAGGGGTCTGCTGCGCCATGTGATCACCTCCGGGGAGGCAGGGATTGAACCCATGCGTAAGTGGCTCTAGCTTCTTAGTGCTGTGCTTTAACCCACTATGCCACCAGGGTGGGCCCATTTTTGCCTAAGACTGTATAACTCTTTTGGCAGACCTGACACAGTTAATTCATATAGAGCTTGTAGTCAACTTTTTTCACATTGCCCTTTCTGAACTCAGGTAGCTGAAGTTTTTAATTCAAATATCAGAATTTATTACATATCCTGACTAAATTAACTCTTAAGAATACTCACATAATATCATCCAATCTGTCATCCAATGTATTAGCTGCCCCTCTCAACTTTATATTTACAATTTGCTAAGCATATATCTTCTTTCTAAATAAGTTATCAACAGAACTGGGTTTATATTCGAGATCTTATTTCAAAAGAAACTAAGTCATCTTAGTTCAACAACAGCCTTCAACAAAAAGCAAATTAAATTATTTCCTGTTTTCCTCCAATTATTCTACTAGGACTAAGGTACTTACAGGTCCGAAGCAGATCGATCCCACTATTGTGGTTTCCAGGGTCAACAAATTTCGCCATGAACTGCTCATTTAGTGTAAAACTCGTGCATTTTGTGATCACATCAAATGACTCTGAAACAAGAATAACAATAACAGTTTGTTGTGTTAATAAACATTAAGTAATAATCTCAGTAATTATTCTCCACAATAAAAAGTGATATAGAAATATATTCCCAGAGAAGTCAGCATTCTTTTTGGCTAGGAGTGAAAGGCAGGATTCAATGTCCAATGGATGGCAGCGCAGAGGCAGTCTTAAGACATTGGCTCAAGGAAGGAAGGGATAAAAAAAATAGGAGCAGTAAAATGAATGATAATAGAAATGTAAGAAGACTATGAAGAAGAATGAGACAAAAACTGAAATAATTAACTTCCATCTTCTCCCTAACCTACTGCACCAGCCATCTCCCCCTCTTCAGGTAATGCCAATCTATCCTCCTAGTTCCTCAGTCACTCTTGTCCACATGTGTTCATCAGGAAATCCCAGAGGCTCTACCTTCAGAACTTATCTGGAATCTAGTCACTGCTCAGTGCTATCAGCATGATCTGATTCACAATCATCTCTCACCTTATAGTGCAATCAAATGCTCCTGTACCTCCTAACTAGTCTCCTGGCTTCCCTTTTTTGCCTGATATTTGTCAGTTTTCAACACATCAGCCTAGATGACTAGATCATCTTATGTTTAAAACACATCCCTCCTCTCCTCTGGTTCCATCAAATTTAGAGTAAAAACTAAGGTCTTGTTCATGCCTAGAAAAATTTTACATGGTCTGCCTTATTCCCACTGGCAGAGAACTTCTCTGACCACATACCCAACTCTCTCTGTCCCTTCCTTCATCCCTTCCAGCCCAGTGGTTCCTTGAACATTTCAAGCAAGTTCCCATCACAGGGCCTTTGCAGTAATTGTTTCTTCCAACATAACTTGATCCCCTGTGCCTCACAATTAACCTACATGGTCAACTCCCTCAACTGTAACAAGTATTGTGAAGCCTACCCTGATTATACTGTTGAAAACCCTAATTCATGCCCACCAACCCCTTTCCCTACATGCTTTTAAATACCCTTTATTTTGCTATATTTTTTCATAGAATGTGTCATCTTTTAATATACTAGTATCCTATTTATACTTATTCTGTTTATTGCCTGTCTCTCTGACACAAGCTATGCAACTTCTGTTGACTGACAAATTCCAGGAGGAAAGGGAACACTCTGAAAAATCAGAGTTTCCATTGCTGACTTATGTTATGACCTCCCTTTTTTCTGTATAATCATAATATCAAAAATATTTTAGCATCATCAGTTTGTAACTGGATGGCCTTAGCTACCTGGTCTGGGCAAAGTACAGCTGAGCTGCTCCAGGGCAAGAAATTCCTTTGTCTGAAGACAAAAGGCAAGCTCCTGGAGAGATAAGACCTGGGAGCATCAAGAGTCCTGGAAAGGTTCCTTGGTCTTTTGAAACAAAAAGCGAATCTTAGGTAACTCCCAGGGCATAAGGACCCATGGACAATTTCCTAACATTATCAACACAGATTTTGCTTAAAGCATAACTGTGTGACTTCCTCTTAATTTATTCTTTTCCTAAAACAATCACTAACTACTCTCTGCTAGTCTTAATTAACCTTTTCCTAAAAAAAAAAAAAAAACAAAAAACAAAAAAACCACTAGCTAACTCTCTGCTAACCTTAAGTTAGTCATTAGCTTTTCTTTAGACTATCACTGATGACTCTGCTAACACAATTTATTCCTTCCCTAGGACTCCTAAGTTCCTTGCTAACAGCTCATCCTTCCCCAGACCCCTTATCCTTTTAAGTCATAGTCAAACATCTGTATACATGAAAGTTATCACAAAGATGTATAGTCTAGTGTGCCATAAAGTGTCAGGAAGAGGATGCATTGTTCCCTTTTCCTTTAGAACTTTTATTGATTTCTTATTAACTTACCTGATGCATTATTGTAACTAAATATTGCTAAACAGTGTAAGTAAAGACCTGTAAAAAGATGAGCAGGAAGACTTTCACCCAACTCCGACTCCCGTGTCTTCCTCATGCCTGCTCCCCTTTTACCCTTTTTAGGAATCTCTGCTCGCCGACACCGCTCCCACCTTTGGACCCTGCCTGTTTTGCCTCCCAATAATCCGTGATGGGGGCTGGTTCCCGACATCTCTCCTTTCTAGAATGTTAGTTTGCCAGGCATATTGATTTTTGGGTTTTATCCTGATATACTCCAAGCTACTAGGTTCTGGAACATGGAGGCATACAATAAATATCAGTCGAATGACTGATAAATGACTGTTAAGATTCATATAGCTATTGTCCCTATGCTCTCATACACAGAACTGAACATTTTGCAATGAATTTCAACAAATTTTTCACTGTTTCTAAACTATTTTTTTTCATATAAAAATCACAAGTATCATTCTTTTGGCATATAGTAACTGAAAGTTGTCATGCTATCATCTGAACACAGTATTTTCCATTAATAAGCCAAAAAAAGTTTTAACAGAAACAAATTGTAACATTGTTCCCTATGAAGAGCTCACAAGTTTCAATTTTAATAAATGAAAATGGGCATTTTTAAAGTTAAAAAGTCTTGTAAAATAAACCTGAGACAATTTCTTAGGTTTTTTTTTTTTTTTACTTTCATGATCTACATTTTTACCTACAAACCATCAAGTTTGTTATAAAACAATCTCAAATACGCACAGATTTAAATATAGAGCTCACTGAATTATATCCACTGAGATTAAGGCAACAAATATAATATCTACTGAAACAGTGCTAGCACACAAAAGGATTGTCAACTCATATTTGTTGACTTGATTTTGGATATTTGTTCTTTTACCAGTTACAAAGTATTTAAAGTCTTCTGATGCATTTTTCCAATTATTTCTTCACAATGTGTGTATGATTCATTTAAAAAAATTTAAAGAGTGGGTAAATAAGTACAAAGATTTAAAATGGCTTTCTCAAGATATGTGTATCACTCATCCAGCCAGTATTAATAAATTATCATGCTAATTCGTGGAAGTTAGCAAGGGAAGGTGTGGGGATAGAACAGATGTACAAGCTTGCTTTGGGGAGAGGAAGAACCCAATACCTGCTGATACACAACGAGGCATCACCAATCTCATTACCTAATATTGAGCAGCTAAAGGAGACAAGTTAAAATAGCAGAAATACCTGTTCTTTCTGGTGGACTATACCAATATACGTTCTGGGGTATAGTGATACACCGTCGCCACAATCCCACCGTGCCATTGTATCGGAAAAGTGCATCATTATAAGCCTTTTCATCTGCCTCATCACTATCAAAGTCATTCCATATGCTTTTGTTCAATTCACTGGAATTTTCTTGAACTGGACTTCGATATTCATACCAGAAGTCGGTGCCAATTGAGGCTGCCATGTAGATGGTGGAAATGAGGCTAAGCACACAAGCAATTACAAATGCTGTAGCAAAACGGTTATCCATTCTGGCATTCAGACTGCTCTGTTTAAAGTTGAAAAAAGAAGAAAAGTCAGACTTTAATGATAAAGATTTTGAAAAGAATTATCTCAATATTACCCTTTATTCCCCACCCCTTAGTTTTTAAAAGTAATATACATAGTCATTAAGGATTTAAATTAAAAGCAAGCAGGTTTTTAATTAAGTTCAAAACAAAGCTCATTATCATGAAAAATGCTCACATACCCAGGATGCTACGGAGACAGAGGTCTTGTTCTCTAGTCTATCACCTGCACACTAAAACAGACAACACTGAAATGGACATACACATTACAGATACAAACAATAGACATGCCCAGAGTCAGCAATGAACTGGGCATGAATTGTTAATTGCAGACTGAATTTTTATACAAGCTGCAGGGTTTTAAGTCTTCTGGGTTAGAATGTGAAAAGGACATAGTAAAAGGAAGCAGAGGAAGTCAGCTCCTCCCAGATTTCTCTGAAGAGGTAAACCTTCTAAACAAGGCTAAGAGTCAGGATCTATTTGGAAGACACAGTGGAAGGTGTTTGTTAGTTCAGAAGGAAAGGTCGTTTCAGGTGCACAGCATTGCAAAGAAAACAATACTATATAATAATGCTAGATAGCAATCTGCCCTTCATCCATTAAAGCTAAATCAAACTCTTTACACAGCCCAAATCCTTCACTCTTGTCTGCTCTCCCCATTCTTTGTTCTTTTGAACTTCCTCACTGCAAACTAAATGATTCCTTCTTAACCTGAACGAAAACTCTGGACTGGGCCAAAAAAAGAGAGCGCAAGAACACTCCCAGTCGTGAATAGGTGTCAACGACAGTAGTAAATGGCCGCAGTAAAATGACTCAAGGTGGATCAAGCTGAGTCAAGCACTTCCAAGTATATACCGTGACCACACAAAACACCTTACAAGAGCGCACGAAAACAGGCTCGCAACCGGTTGCTGAGTTTGGAAGATGGGAAGTGACTCAGAGAGATCAGGGCAATTACAATAATTAACGATAACTCCAGAAGTTGGGTTTGAATTTCTATTCTTACTAATCCTCTTTCATCCTGGAGCTTCTCAAATGACCTTAAAAGGTCCCGACTGGGAGCCGCGGTTCACCCAGACTGGACACCGGGCTCCTTCGCCTCGCAAGGCGCAGGACCGGGCCGCGGGGGGTCGAAGTCCACCGGGGCTGGGGCGGGGCGGTCCTGCGCGGCTCCCCGCCAGGGGCCCCAGGGGCCCCAGCAGGCCCCTCCCCAGAGCGCTGGGGCTAGGGAAAACCCCCCAGGCCCCCAGTCGCCCACAGCCAGCCCAGCCCTTGGCGACACGGCGGGAGGACGCTCCTCCTCAAACCGCTGGAAATGTACAACGGCTACGCGACCCGCACCCGGCGACGCCGGCCCCACTCACTCACCGCCCATCCTCCTGCTCCGCCAGCTTCACCCTTCAGCTCAGACCACAGCACCCTACTCGCCCCGCGCCTCCTCTGACGCACTTCCCTGCAGAGCCCGCCCCCTCCATCACTCCCGCGCCTCCGCCCCCGCCTCCACCCCAGGCCAGGCTGAGGCCCAGGGCCGAGGGGGGTTGTGGGAGTTGTAGGAGGGACAGAGGGAAAGCTGCGGGAGGTGGCGGACCGCATGCCTGGAGGCTCGCGCGGCGCCTTGTGGGAGATGTAGTTCAGCTCCTCGGGAACGTTCCCAAAGGGAATTCCAGGGTTGTGGTTTCCTGTAGTTTATGAAGGCAGGGAGGAAGGCCTATTGAATAAAGGCTGCCTCCCACTCTTCACCTCTAGACATATATATGATTGCAACTTGTATAAGGCAGGTTTCTCAGTGCTTTTCTATTCACCCCACCCCACCTCTAAATATGTTAACAGCGGTTAGGTTATACTTTTGAAATACTCACCTATTTATTTCTTCCTCACAAGTTCACTCCAATTAGAATAGATAGTCTTTCTGGCTTTATTGCTTAAGTTAAGGCCAGAAATAATGTGACTTGACAGTTTCCATATAGAATGTAATGACAATTGTGTTTCATATGATTTGTATCTGTGGTTGTATTCTCTTTTTGACAAGTAGCATTAGTTCTCTTCATTGTAGTAAGGTTTTCTTTTAAAGTAAAATATTAAGGTTAGTGATAATGAAGATACCAGATATTTCAAAAGGCATAAAAAATAAATAACATAAACATTTTTAAAAAAGCATGAATTAAAAAAAAAATGTTTGTGTGGTATGAAAAAGATTCAACTAAAGGGAACATTAATTACCTTAAACAGATGCAGTCAAGAACAGCCTGGAAGATTGCACATGACTGTGTGGTATAAAGGCAACAAAATCACCGCAAACCTTCAAGTTTGCATGGCATTTCACAAGCAGGAAGCAGGATCACCTTAGCAATGAGGTGTGTGGACACACAAAGGTAACCTTGGACCAAGAAATGATGGATTCCTAGAAAGGTACCAAATAGCTGACTCAAGGACTCTGGAACCCTATCTCATCCACCAATGCCTTGAAATTTTGCAGAGGTACAGGAGAAAGGTGGGAGCTCCAAGTTTACATTAATTGTCTTTTACCCTGAAAGATAGAAAGCATGATACCTGTTTTCTATTTGTAGGTATGTTTCTTTCACCTGAGCTGGCAAACTGATAGTCCTATCCAGTACATATATAAAATGAGGCAATAGCCAAATGTAATATACAACTCTAACTGAATTTTCATACAGAGTATTTAAACAGTGAAGAACTTTGTCAGAGGCACCACAATCACTTTTGCTATTCTCTCTGCTGTTTTGACCCCTTCCCCCTGCTATATACCCCTGATCTATAGTCAGTTTATAAGGTACATTTGACTCACCAGTTTAGTATGGACCTGGAAGCTCTGCTTTGTTTGAGGTTGTGGCCACTTATGACTCACTGACTACAGAGTACTTAACTGTATCAGCATTCCCAGTCCTACAACCACCAGCTGGGTTCACAGAATACATAAATCTTCATGATATAAGAGGTAGATTTTTCTGGGGAGACCTGTAAAGGTGATTCTTTTAATGAAGTGTGAAAAAAAACCTAAAACATACAAGATATAATTTTTATTTTTTTTTAAAGATTTTTTTATTTATTCATACAAAACTGGGGTACAGGCCAGAGATGTGGAGGGTGAGAGGATTCACCAGAGACAGAGTGGGGAGCTGAACAGGTAGATGAATGAAGTACACTGCTGAGGGAAGCAGCGGGCGGGTCAGGAGAGGTCTGCCGCGCCATGTGGGTCACCTCCGGGGCAGGCGGATATGAACTCATGCTGAAGTGGGTTTAGCTTCTTGGTGTGGTGCTTTAACCCGCTGCGCCACCAGGGAGGGCCCTATTTTTATTATTTTTAAAATATATTTATTTTCTTATATCATTGTTCATTTTGAGGCAGTATTTGACTTCTCCCCTAAGGTGTAGTCCCCATAATTCTCCCACCACAGCCTAACAACATACAAAAAGGTAGAAATAGTGGGAAATGCAGACGGAAAATGAAAAAGGAGGAAAGCTATACACATTTTAATTAGAAAGATACAATGACATAGTCTTTTGCTGCTTCAGCAATAAACAGTAATCATGTAAAATGGAAGTTGGCCAGGAATTTTGTGAAAAATCCCTTTAACTGGAAATGATGCAAAACTCAAACATGATGCATCTCAGATATGCAAACATTTATTGATAACTAC